AACGTTTGACATAATTGAAGACTCATATTTACAATTTGTTTATGATAACGCGGATCATAATACGGCTACTATCGATGGAAAGAATACTTTTCATTATATGGGGGGGAATAATATGCGTAACACCATCAACATCCGTTACTTGCAAAAGCCAAATTGCTCGGCTCAAAGGAGAATTGCCAAAAATAAATATTGACAGAACGTCGGGATTTATTCCATTAACTAATTTTAAAAGTAGTCGCCCTTTCAACTTAAATACCGAGACAGTTCGTGATTGGAAAGATCTTGACGTTGATTTTTCGTTTAAAATTAAACCATTAGACATTTTGTATTTTTTCGGGAAGCATAGCGAGCCTACAAAAACGTCAAATTGGCAAGGATTTATGAACAAATACCATAATTATAATAATGAATTTTGTACATCAAAAGTGATCCCAATACCTTTTATTAAAGCGCCGCCCAGTAATCACACTACAATATTAACTGCTTTAATAGATGCGAGACTGAGAGCAAATAAAAATAATCAAATTCACTGCTTCGTGACCTTTGACTTGCCTCTTTACATGAAGGCGAATGAAGTCCTTGCTTCGATTGATCCCGTAAAGGATAACTATAATTTGTTATCGGTTATAATTAGACTCGGTGGTTTTCATCTTCTCATGTCTTTTCTCGGTGCGATAAATACGATCATGAAAGGAAGCGGCCTTCAAGAGGCATTTTACACGATTTATGCGGAATTGTCGGCAGATAAGGCATTAACGGGTCACGCTTACTCAAGGGCTGTAAGAGACCATCTTTTAGTTCAAGCTGCTTTAGGATCGATTATTTTTTCAACTATTGAGCTTACTCATGACGAGAAAAATTATTTACAAAATGGGCTACAAAAAATAGGAGAAGAGAACATAAATGATTATTTATTGGATCCATTAATAGAAAATATTAAAAAGAAGTTTATTGCTGCTGTTTGTAAAATTGAAAGTCGTGGCCCCACTGCCCAATTACGGATAGTCTATTTTAAATTAATATCCTTATTGTGTCGATACGTTGACGCTGAGAGATCAGCTAACTTTAATTCACATATTCAATCTGTAGTGCTTATGATACCGTTTTTTTTTTGCGTCGGGCCATCATTTATACGCGAAAGCGTGCCTACTATATGCACAACAGATGTTAAATTTAGAAAATATTATGGATGTAATTGAATATGACAAATTTTGCACTCAAGGGTATTTCACAATTAGGCGTTCAAACAGATTTTGGTCGGGGATTTGGTCGGACATGATAATCGAACAGGTCCTTATGCGCGCAATGAAATGCAGTGGTGGATTAACCCACGGTCGCGGGTTAACCGAAAGTGTTATTACGAAATGGATTCTATCGCGAGTCGCGGTGTTAGAAGTCGGTAATGCAATGGAATCATTTTGTAATGTAACGTTTTCATCTTCCGAACAGCACGTAGATAATCGCGTTTCGCGTATGTCAAGAGATGCCAATGATTTACAAAAAATATTTGATTATTTTAATATGTACGAGCCTTTTCCAGACACTGATAAAATCATTGGCATTTATTCCGGCGTTATTGGCGAATTGAATGTTAATTGTTACAGGGCTTTTGATATTGGCAAAGAGTTCATGGACGCGACTTCCAATAAAGTATTTAGCGGCAGCCAATTCAACAATGAAAAACGCTGACAACGAAGATGTATACATTTCTCCATTACTCATTTTTCAAAAAATAACGCTCAATATAGAAACAAAAAAGATATAAACGAGTACGCAAGCTCGTATGAACTCTCACCAATTCCGTTATCACTATTTGACGAAAACGGCATGCGCAAAACAAAAAAATCGGAATTTTTTAAAAATTTTGAAATGTCAGACGCGCTCGCTAATCCCGATACTCCACTTATTCATGTACTCGATGGCGGGTTTTTAATCCATAAAATTGTATGACCTTCTCACTTAAAAATATGTGAAATCATAGATAAATACGTGACGTACGTAAAAATGCATTGCTCTCCAAATAGTTTCATTGTTTTCGACGGCTATCCCGACGATGAATCAATGTCAACTAAATCAGTTGAACGTTCTCGAAGGCAAGCTAAAAGCATCGGTCGCGATATAGCATTTGACATGAATACAACGATTGCGGTGAACCAAAAATTATTTATCAGTAATGAGAGAAATAAAGCAAGACTTATTAGTATGCTTTCTTATAGTTTGAGTAGAGCGGGTTTTAGATGTAAGATTGTGCCGGAAGATGCTGATGGGTTAATCGTAACCACTGCGATAGAGGAAGCGCGTGCAAATTTAAATAGTACGGTGTTGATAGTCGGGCAAGACACCGACTTATTAGTTATTTTCTCGCAACTTGCAGAAAACTTTAGTAATATATATTATATTCTTCTCCAGAGAAATAAAATGTTCGACATCATCCGAATTATGTAATAGTAATAGCTTCAAATATAGAATATTACAAAGAATAATTGCCTTTTTACATGCCTTTTGCGGGTGCGACACGACTTCAGCATTTTATAATATTGGCAAAAATAAATTAATAGATTCCTTGGAACCAGAACGGTTGCTAGAATTGGCCTTAAAATTTTATAACGCTAATTCCACTCATGAGCAAATTTCAAGGGCAGCTTTTGAAATAATAATAGGATCATATAGCAGCAAAGCCGAAAAAAAAATTATAGCGAAAGCGAATACATTCACATTATGTGACTTAAGATATCTTCATTGTAGTAAAGCTAAGACAAAATCGAAATTCGCATTAGAAAAATTGCCTCCGACAGAAGGAGCCGCTAAGCAACACGCTTTCCGTATCTTTTATCAGATGCAGAATTGGGTCGGTAATTGTAAATTACAAGCAACCGATTGGGGTTGGCACATAAAAAATAATCGTTTGGTACCAATAGGTACAACTGATCCGTCAATTCCAATAAAATTACATAATCATATTTCCTGCTCGTGCAGTAAAAAGGGTTGTGTAGACAATGCCTGCAGCTGTAGAAAGAACGGATTAAGGTGTTCTAATTTATGCACTAATTGCCAAGAAGACACGTGCATAAATTTAGACGTTAATGAAAAATTTGTTGTACCCGCGAGCGAGTGTATGGAGGATGAATCGCAAAATCAAGATTGCATGGATAAAAATATAGAAAATGATTTTCATAATTATGTAATGAACAAATATTTAATAGATATGAATAGTTATGATGAAACGATAGAGTATATTGCGTCGTTAGATCTTGATGATGATGAAAATGTTGAATTGAATCGTGCGAAAAAAATTAGATTAATATAAATGCATATTATTATTATTATGAATTATTATAAATTATAACATTATATGTATGCGCATCTATAGTGTATAAAAATATGTATAATGTATGTATTATCAGAAAAGTTATTTATTTTTGTTTATTATACGAAAAATAAGTTTTTTTATTTACATTTATAAATTCAATAAACTTTTTATAAAGTGACTGTTATCATTATTTCTTATAATGAAATTCAATAAAAATATACGCCAGCCGCAAGCGCGGCACATGTATATGCGCCGTTCTCCTTCGCTGATGGTCCCCCCACCACTCGACTATTCCGATGCGCTCGGCCGAAAACGTTGAACTTCCGCGTTTTTGAAAGGCATTTTACAATACTTTTTTTACTAAATCAGAATATACATTTTGAAGCGAAAAATGTATAGTTTTCGAAACTGTTTTCAAAATGAAAATTAAACTGTCCGATTTTAGTAGAGACTTGTCCGAATTTTTTGCCTTAAATTGTTTAAAAGATAATTGCGCGGAAAAAAAATGTTGCACAGAATCATGGTTTCGCGCACTTGCAAGTATGCATACCCAGCTACTATAGTTCCAAATCTCGGCTCTCCAAGCTAAAAACCGACGGAGATATAAATTTTATAAAAAAAATGAAAATTTCATCGTTTTTCCACATTTTCTCGGCTTCCAATAATGTTATAAAGTCACGCGACGGCTCACTCTCTTCGTTATCCAATTACCTACAACTTTCATATTTATACCGTAATTGTTGCTTTATTATTTTCAAAGATATAACGAAATGACAAAAAAAATTAATTTTTCGCATATATTTGTTAATTAACAAACGTTCTGACAATATTTCAGAGTTTAAAAGTATACCAAATTAAAGGGCGCAAAAAAATCTAGACGATAGCACTAGTCGTTACCTGTACTATTTTTTGTCGCGAAACCCTATGATTGAAAGCTAGGTTGCTTGGCCTATATCACCGCTCGAAACTCTGTTTTTCCATATTTCAAATAAACCAATAACTTTCTGTTCAACCAACGCTCACAAAAAACGACTAAATGAATCGAGCTGAAACTTTGTACGATATCTAATTAGTAGTATTTCTTGCCAAAAACATCATAATTTAAGCGTAACGAGCGCCATCTCTTGGATTTTGTAAAGACTTATTAACCCTTCCTCGTACTTACATATTGTATTTTTCGTGGCTAATTCAGTTGTCCCATTGAAAAGATCGATATCCGTTTATTCAATGCCACTTCGTATATTGAATGAACTCAAAAAAATTCCTAATAAAAATATTTGCATATAAAACGCGGTAATGAATATCTTTTACCGATGTAAGAACAATAGGAAATCAATTGCTTTGAAGTGATTATAGATCGCAACTGTTTCTGTATACCTCGCAAAAAATTTGATTAGGTTTTATAAATTTTCGTCATGCGTATTCTATACTTTTATTTCCATTTATTCTTCATTCTCTTTTAACTTAGATAAAGTAAACTTCTTCCAGTTATAGTACGGGATTATAGTTACTGAACTTTTGAGTATTATATAATATATATTTTCATATGTAACATGAATCTAGATATTTAAGATGCTGAAAAAATTATTATGTTAAATGAGTTTTTATTTATTAAGAATGTTTATCATTATTTTTCATGTGTTGTATCTTCATTGCATGGATTCCATCTTACTCATATTTATAATTTTAGTTGATGGTGGTCATCGAGCTATAATTTTCTCGAGACTTGGAGGTGTTCAAAAAGACATTATGACCGAAGGATTACATTTTAGAATTCCATGGTTTCATTATCCAATTATTTACGATATTCGAAGTAGACCAAGAAAAATTTCTTCACCAACAGGTTCCAAAGATTTGCAAATGGTTAATATTTCTTTGCGAGTTCTATCTCGGCCTGATGCAAGTACGCTGCCATCAATGTATCGTCAACTTGGACTTGATTATGATGAAAAGGTAAATGTAATATACATATAACACAACTATATGTTGAAAATTGAAAATTTATCGAAACCTATTTAAATAGTGATCAAATACATAACACATTGTTGAACGTTGTAAAGAGATATTTGGATCCTTGAGTAATTGAAAGATTGCTGACCGTAATGATTTAGAGTGTACCAGGTCTGAACGACTGGTTCGAGGACCCCGTGTGTGGCAAGCGTCTAACTGGATACACGTTCTCTTCTGAGCCATGAAGAGGTTATACTAACAATGCACCGAGTGGCGGAAACGTGCGTTTGACTACAACATTCTGAAAGGGGTGAAGTAACGGCGTGTACGTACTCACTCGATGAAAACATTTTTGATTTTCGAGCTCTGCTCACATTTACGCTTAGATTTATCGACTTGATGCGTTCCGATATTGAAATTATAAAAATTTCAGTACAATAATGAAATAATACTGGCTGAGCATAAGTATTTAATTCTAAACCCTAACGCTTCTTTATAAATATATGTAACTTTCGTGTCATATCTACTCAGTGCGCCAATAGCCGACATGGCTATGGCGCATGATTTAATTTTTTTATTTTTCATTTCAATTATGTATTTACATTTTTTTTTCTTGTTTTCATTTCTTCATAATTGTAACATACCAACATTTAGTACAAATATTATATATTAGAATTATATTTATAAAATAGTAATAAATATATTTATATATTACGTTTATTAAAAGCATATTTTTTATATACATTCTGTAACGGGGTGGATACCGTTTAATTAATTTATCCGCGTAATCTTATCGAAAAGCGCACGTAATTACCTATGTTAAATACGAAAATCGGGGAGCAGGAGGGAACGGGTGTCAGTCAACCAACTATCTACAAATACGAAATAAATACTTCGAAAGTACTGTTAATATCACATACGAGAACTTTTATTACCTCTTAACATTACATCGTATTCGGCCTTCGTGTTTATGTTTACATGCCGCGCGCACGACAACAACATACAGTGTCGGATCGCTCGCCGCTCTTTGTTTGCCGAGATGTTACATGCACGCTTTTTCTCGAGTCGAGGAATTAGTTATTTGGCAATTATCGCGATCGCGAAATTAAGCTGGCCAGCTTACCTTTTTTTTGCAGTCGTACGAAGAATGAAAGAAACGGTTAGCACTCTCGTTGCGGGAAAGTCTGTCTTTATTACGAGGAAGCTCGCGTTTTTAGTTTCGCCCTGGCTGGCGAAACTCCTTACACGCGCACTCTCACATTCACGCTTTTCAGGCAAGCGGAGGCACCGTTGTCGCAGCTCCGACTCGGCTCGTATCGGCACTCGGGAAAAGCTCGGGAAACGTCAAGAGTCTTGGTAGCGCAGCTCTGCGATCGGGTTCTAATCCTCGACTTTTGCCACAGGTATCGGTAGCTCATTCTACACTTTCGGCTAAGCGTGTCGATGGCTAATCCTTCACTGGTTTGTTTTCAATCGCGCGCGTTCCGCCTCGTCGCGTGCCGAATTCCCTCACTACATTTTTCGTCTACCGGTAAGTGCTGCCCCCGCAGGCAGCCATTAGGTTAGGCTATTAGCGCTAATTCGACGTTTACCGTCACAATTCCTAATAATCTTAATATAGTTACCATTTTTTCAAAAAAATTTATATAACGACGTGGTTAAAATTTTTACTATACGTACTTTCTCAATGTTATGTTGATATTTGTTCAAGCAGATACACTCATCAAGAAGCACCATAATATTCGTTGACTGAATATTTCTCGTCTATGTTACATTTAATAATTAATACTATTATAATCATTTCATACTTTTGTATAATTGATTTTCAATGAAATTATTCTTATAGTTTGTATAATTTAAAATTGGATATAATGTTCTGAGTCATAGAAAATCAGATCTCATATTATACAGTGTAACGAATGAATATTCGTTAAGATGCCTGCGTAGTATAAGCAGCGATTGAGACAGAGAATAACGAGTGCAAACGAGAGGAGACCAGCCGCAAATTCGGAAATCGGAGGAACAAAGCCACGCGGGCAGAATGGAAGGGGGAGAGCGGCAGGTGATAAAGAGGACAATATCGTTTCAACTTACAAGGGAGACTGTTGTCTGCTATTGTTGTCTTCTTCGTATGAGCTGGTGCCGGTGATTGGATTTTCGCGTCCGTCAAGTTCAACGCTCGGAACCACAAGATTATAAATGAAATTTCGGATCGTTGTTTTCCGGACGTAGCATCGAGATGGGAACTAGCGCGCTATCTCTCACACCTGTCTGAAGAAGCACCCCTGTCATAAAAAAAATGTAGGCCATCGTCTTTTTTCCCTTTTTGTGTGAGTGTGATAATCTTGGGTGAAGCGATCGTAGGTAGTCCGTTATTAGTTACGTATTAATATTTTCTTTCTCTTTCTCACTATTTGTTGTAGTCAACAAGTGCGAGAGCTTGTTCATATTAGCCTTAGTCTAAACCTCACGGCCAAGTATTTATTTTGCTATTTTCATTTGATGACTAGTCGATCCAATAAATCGACGTTGAATTTACCTTAAATCCGTGTTACATTTTTTATTAATCTAGCTAACCATCTAATAATTTCCATTCGTAGCTTCTTTTGTTAAGATCTTTTTGTTAAGATTGAATAGAAAATTAACTATGACCTCATTTTGTTCAGTTATTTAAAACACTTGTGCAAGCTCTGGGTGTGCGGCGGCGGTGTAATTCATTTAGGCTTGCGGAAACTTGTAGCTACACTTACCTTAAGTTACACTTACTTGTAGTCACCGAAATGGATAACCTCGACGAAACAGCTCAACAGGTGGGCCAATTGGTCTTAGGCCTTACTCATGATAATCTGTACAAAACCCTTGTCGACCTGTCGTCGAAGCACTACCATCACAGTTCCCGCGGCGCTTATATAACCAATGGTCTCGTTCACTCAGAGGATTGAAGACCTCAAAAAAGCCTTGTCTGCTGAAAAACAGTTTAATCGTTCGTTGTCTGCAATGTTATAATCAGTATATGCCACACAATTAACAATAACTATAGCGATTCTAAGAATCGAGCACTACATCAAGGTACCAGAGAATGACGTGAACTCGATGCAGCAGACCCAGACAGAAGAAGAGCCACTGTCGAGTAAGAGAACACAGCAGCTTGAGACGGTAAAATTTCAATATATCTTTACCATGATCTACAGTTCAAGGTTACCTGAAAGTACCCCAATCCACTCACAAAACCCACAAATTGTAAGCGGTGCCCTCAGGAGAGCGGGGAGGGAGGAGGCAACGGAGCGGCCAAGATTGTTCTGTTCAAGGGTGTAACCTCAGCCAGGATAGTCAGGGGTTGAATAACTAAGTTCTCTAGGACGACGATCAGGCGATCGACGTTTTCCTAGAAAGACTCAAAACTCAGCATATGGCTGCTGAATTGACCGAGGAAGAGATGCCACTAAGCTAACAGGACGTATTAAAGGGTTCGTCACAGACCTTGTACCTGACCAATCACGGCTGAGTGAGCTAACATTACTTCGTGCTCGATGCCATGGGAACGGCATGGCACGAGCGTGCAGAAACAACAGCGATTAAATAGAGAAGCTCAGGGCATGTACCAGGGATCGGATGAACCTGTCCATACACATTTAACCAAGCTACAAGCTATAGTCAATAAATTCCACCGTCTAATGTCATGTACAGAGATGATGGAATTTCTGTACAACAATCCCTTGCTTGAGACCAAGAACCATGTCAGGCGAAGCGACGTGGTCTCGGTAAGAGATTTGTTCAAGCTGCTCTCAGCAGCACATAACAATCTAGGTTATGACTACCTAGTTGTTGTTATGAAATAGCCTAGAAGAAATTTTAAAGTTTCTTGAGCATGGTATCTTGGACTTTCCATCAGTCGTCGAACCACTCGTCCGGTTGACGGAGAAGGCTGTTCCCTATCACAAGAGCAAGCGTTCTGGAGAACGAAATAACTTACGACCAACGCTCCGATCCTACAGCCGTCCAACGCTGACGACGACTTCGTTCACCAGTCCTCCTTCGTCTAAATCGACGCTGGTGAAATGGGGCTACGCGTAGTTATAACACGTGGTGGAGTTTGCGACTCTCAGTCTGAATAAGGTCGAGCGAAAATATTCCGTCTTGGAAGGACAGTAGCTTACCGTGATCTAGACCATCCAGAAATTCAGGCAGTACCTTGAAGGTTATCAATTCAAAATGATAACCGATTAATACTGCTTGAGATGGTTCCAGAGCATGAGGAATCTCACTAACCACCTAGCTCGATGGGTGCTTAAACTGCAGGGGTATACGTTTGATATAGAGCATCTCAAGGGATTTCTATACGCAGTACTCGTTCTATCACGTGCTTTCGAAGAGGATGAATCCACATAGAAAGCCACCGTGTAGGCAATAATGAAACCGCAGACGAATGGTTTCTCAGTCAAAAGCAAAAGGTATTCGAAGATTCTAATGCATATTCAACATTGGAGGTTCAGAGCAGAAACGTTTATACGTACTGCCCTGATTAGGGATTCTCGGAGACCTCGGACGATGAATAAGCATAGGAACTTCTAAATCCGACATACCCCTGGCTGAATACTTCCTGAAAGATATGACCTGCACCAGGATAAAGCGCTTTTACTACTGGCCGACCGTTACAGGTGACCTACAGCATTATACGTATATAAAATTCGCAGTTATGCCGCAGTGGAAGGTGGAACAGCGATCCCCCTACGGATAGATAGCGAGGCGCAGGATCGATCGGTCTTGACAGGTAGTCGCCGGAGATATTACGGGCTAATTTCCTCATATTCCAAGGAGCTATGAATATATTTTGGTATTCGTGGATCTTTCTACACGATGAATTGAGTGCACCTTTATCAGGAAATAAATCAATCCATGTGATAAAAATAAGTGTATTATTGATATAATTCCACCTTCTGAACTTCATCTACCGATTGGCGTCATGAATCATATTTACAGTCACATGTTTCTTGAATATGAAA